GTGACCAGGTGTCCTGCAAGGCTGACCAATTCGGACACCCGTGCAGCATCGCTAAACTCTGTACGCCAAGCGTCGCTCAGACGGGCGAAGCAGCGGGACTCTGCGTGACCAGGTGTCCCACAAGGCTGTGCGAATGTCTAGCGCGGACTGTACGGGCCGCTCTCGGGCGTGACGTGGCCTGTACGGGCCGCGCTAACGCCTAGCGCTGACTGTACGGGCCACGCGCGGGCCTAACATAGGCTATACGGGCCGCGCGCGGGCGTAGCGCGGGCTGTACGGGCGGCGCGAAGGCCAGACGGGGGCTGTACGGGCTGCTCGCGGGCTACGCGCGACAGAACAGGGCAGGGCCGCGGGGCAACGAAAATCGATGCACCTAAGGGCGCATTTCGGGCAAAAAAAAGGCAGAGAACGCGATTCGGGCAGGAACACGGAAGGTTTAACGGTGGGCCCTAAAAAAAATCGTCCTAGGCTAGGAACGTCCTAGCTCTTTATACCATGTGAGAAGAGTATGAAGGTATGATGATGATTAGGGCAAGGAGGGGGGATACAAAGAAGTGTCGAGCAAAATTCTGTACCCCCTAGGGCTAAACCCACTACAGCCTAGATAACATTAAACATATAACTTGACATACAGTACCGACTACGATAAGACGTACTCGCCAGTGAGCAGCTACGTCACGCTGAGGATCTTCCTCAGCATCATCACCGCAATGTAGCTCGACATGAAGAACGCTTTCCTATAGAGCAAGCTCGATAGGGTGCTCTACGTGTACCAGCTGGACTTCTTCGACGATGGGACCGGTCGGGTGCGTAAGTTGCTGAAGAGCCTCTACAGGCTGAAGCAGTCGCCACTGCTATGGTACAGGCCTCTCGACGCTGTGCTGCTGGGCGCTGGCTGGAAGAAGAGTCAGGTCGACGAGGCACTCTACTTCAAAGCCGGCGACGACGAAGTGACCTTCTGGGTGCTGGTATACGTTGACAACCTGCTCGCCGCCAGCAGCAGAACCGCAATGCTGAAGGAGCTGAAGGAGCTACTGAAGGCCTCCTTTGAGCTGCGTGAGATCTCGCCGGTGGTGAATTACCTTGGGCTGGAGATCACACGCGACAGGCCAGCCAAGAAGCTGTGGCTGCACCAGCAGGGCTACGCCGACAAGCTGCGTAGGCGCTTCATCGACGAGGAGCAGGGCGGTCGAGTCCCGAAGACGCCGGTCTCGGTCGATGCCTACGCTGAGCTCACGTTCGACGACAAGGAGGCCCAGGAGCGCGAAGAGGAGGAGTACCGGCAGAATGTCGGCTCGCTGCAGTTCGCGGCGACGATGACAAGGCCGGACATCGCGTTTGCCTGCAGCAAGCTGGGAGAGGCCTCACGGTGAGGAGCGACCAGCATTGGCGCGAGGTCGATCGCTACCTCGCTGACACCCGCAACACCGCTTGGAGTTCGGCGGTGGACCAGAATCACTGGAGCTGATCGGATACGTTGACGCCGATTATGCGGTTGACAAGCAGAACCGGACGAGCACAGGTGGCTAGGTGCTCGTCTTCGCAGGTGCCACGGTCTCCTGGTCGAGCTAGCGCATTAAGTGCGCGACGCTCTCCTTGACCGAGTCAGAGTATGTCACGGCCATGGACGCCGGCAAGGAGGGGCGTCGAAAGCGCTTCCTCCTAGCAGAGTTCAAGCTGCTTGACGCTAGGAAGCCGACCGTCCTCCACGTGGACAACAAGTCGGCGATCACGGTCGCTAAGGGCTTGGGGGTGACAGGCAACATCAAGCACATGGAGCGACGCTACGCCTGGCTGCAGCACATAATGAGGCGCGGGAAGTTCGTGCTGAAGTACATCCCAACCACCGAGCAGCCGGTGGACTTCTTGACGGAGGCGCTGCATTTTCCGGCTTTCAACCGGTGCTCTGTCGCCATCACCCAAGTTTGTCTGGCCAACGTCGGCGACGGCGACGATGAGGTGCTGCAGTAGGTTCCGTGCCCTTCTGCACGGCTGGTGCGGTGACGGCGAGCTGTGTGTGGGGTGCACGCCGAGGAAGAGTTTTCTCCGTGGAGTTCTGTCGTGTGGGCTGGAGGCCCAAGCGTGAGTGCGGCAGGGGAGTGTTAACGGGAGTGGAGTGTTGGCCCCACCCCCGCTTGGGCAACGCCGACGAGTTGGTCAGATGTACGGGAGTAGCAGCTGACCATTTACAGTGGGAGAGGTGCTCGACAGGCTTCGTCGAGCTGCAGGGGACCGTTGTGGTGTTGCTGTCGATGAAGGAGCTCGACAGGTGCAACTGACTGGTCTGGCGACGGGTGGGCCGTCGACCAGGAGGGGCAGTTCGACTGGGAGGTCGATGGAGCAGTCCGTCAACCTACAGCTCGACCGGAAGGTCGACGGAGCAGTTCGTCCATCTGCAGCTCGACCGGGAGGTCAACGGAGTAGTCCGTCGACCTGAGAAGTGAGCAGCGGTCGACGAGGGGAGCTCGGCGACAACCGCTCACAGTCCCGGTCGACAGAAGGGGTCCGTCGACCAGGGGGTAGCTTGACGGGAGCTGTGGTCGACCAGGGGCACCTTGTGGTCGACCAAAGGCAGTGGTGGTCGACCGGAAGCACCTGGTGGTCGACCAGGTTGACTGGGTAACCTGCTCGACGAAATCTGCGGAAGCACGTGAACGTCGTCGAGGTTGCGATGGCGAAGGCGACTGCGGGCTGGTATCCTGAAGTCGATGTGGCTCGTCAGGCCCAGTCAACAGCCGACGGATGGCCAACGTGTGAAAATTTAGAAGAAAGAAGAGGACTGCACTAGCAAGAATGAGGATACAAATAGCAAACCCTAGAAGGGTTGTACTCGCTACAGAGCACCCCACTACAGGCTAGAGCATTAGATGACATTCTGACACACCCCCATAGCCAAAGTGGGGTGTAATCAGCAGAGCAATCAAAGCAGTACAAGCTCAGGGTGGATCACAATGTCACCACACATTCTGAGCACAAGTTCAAGAAGCAATAGTTTAAAGTTCACAATTATGAGCAAAGCTAGTGGTAGTCACAACGGGCAAGTGAGGAGGAGGAGAGAGAGTGAGAGGAGAGAAGATAGGAGGCGACGGCTAAAGCTGCAGACACACGGGCAACAGGAGGCACACTGGCACAGCGGCTACCGGAACAACGCTCCGGAATACTTGAGTAACTGGCCCCGCGGCTAAAGTAGCGGCAGACGAGCAACGGACCCACGGGCGGCTGGCACAGCTGGCTACGACTGGGCTACCGGAGCAACTCCCCGGACTACAGGTGCTGCTGGCGACACGACGGCAACCTCCATTCAGCTTCCCCAAACTATCCCACTCCCCCTGGCACACACCCGCTGCTACACCGCTAGCTCCACTCCCCCTTCACCCCCCCTTAGTACCACTCCACCGGCTCCAACACGTCCACCCCCCCTCAGCGGCAGCTGCAGCACAGGGAGACGGAGGAGGAGGAGGAGCAGGGAACGGCACACAGTGAGGTCACCCCCATACCCCTCACCCCCAAACCCTAATTCAGGAGAATGGGGAGTAGGAGGGGTGGGGCGCCAGTAGAAGCACGGGGGGACAGCGGGGAGGGCAGGGGCAGCGAGGAACGGGCCCACCACGGGCCTGGTACAGACGCCCGAGCCGCGCGCAGGCGGCCCGAGCCGCGCGCGGGTCTGGCGCCGTCCGTACGGGCCGCGCGCGGGCCTGGCGCCGCCCGTACGGGTCGCGCATGGGCCTGGCGCAGCCCGTACGGGCCGCGCGCGGGCCTGGCGCAGCCCGTACGGGCCGCGCGCGGGCCTGGCGCAGCCCATACGGGCCGCGCGCTGCCTGTACCGGCCGCGCGCAGGCCACGACGGGCGACGGGGAGCGACGCGCAGGTCCCCGTCGCCCGTCGCGGCGCCTCCAGAGGGCGACGCGCCGAACGACGGGGCAGAAGCCCGCCGCGCGCCTCGGGGCGCACAGCGGGCAGAGAACCGCCGCGCTCCTCGGGGCGCACGGTGGGCAAAAAACCGCCGCGCGCCTCGGGGCGCACGGCGGGAAGAAAAACAGCCGCACGCCATGGGGCGTGCGGCACAAAGAGTAGGAGTAGTGGTTGCAGCGGAAGCAACGAGGTGGTAAGCCCACCCACAGGATCTATCCAAGGGGATGGACCTGCTCTGATAACATGTGAAAAATTAGAAGAAAGAAGAGGACTGCACTAGCAAGAATGAGGATACAAATAGCAAACCCTAGAAGGGTTGTACTCGCTATAGAGCACCCTACTACAGGCTAGAGCATTAGATGACATTCTGACACAACGAGGCAAGAATCGTCTGCGCGCACCTGCGAGCGTGCGCGCCGCTGTATTTTACGGGGCAACGCTGAACAGCTGCTCTGCTGCAGTGTTGGCATGCCATCGACCTGCTCTGCTGGCAGGTCGCCTTTCTGTAGTGCTGGCGCGGCTCCTCTACGCAACGCTGGTAGGCGGTCGACCAAGCTGTGCTGGCTGTCGACCTGGCTAGCTGCAAAGTTGCTAGGTTCCTGATGTAGTTATTCTTGTCATTGTGAACGTGATCATTCTGGAATTTCGACTTAGCTAGTGGAAACTCTTGGCAATTGTCTCCCGTGATTGTGCAAGCACTAAGGAACTAGGCAAAGCTACGATTACTCCTTGTAGTTCATGCCAACCCCCGTAGTCTAGCTCACTACCTTTGTCGAGGCTACAGGTATCGTCTTGGGGGGGTAAGGGAGCGCTGACCCACCAAGGAACATGCACTTTTATTTCAGTCGGTTAGCGGACTGGAATGCTATTTCCGCAAAGAGACTTTGGCGAAAGAACTATTGGCGAAATAGGCAAAGAATTTACTGAGTGATTGAAGAGTTGAATGAGATTTGGTTGATAATGGCAAGTACAAGCAATGTTTAAGTAGCATGCAAGAGCGACTGTTGGAAAGTACTTCGTGGGACTAGAAAGAAAAAGGCAAGAAAGCTAGAGTGTCACGTGGCACTAGGAAATATTGGAAATCTTGGATGAGTTGGATGAAGATAAGGTTGGGATGAGGTTGGGGGCGGTGTTTAGGGTAAACTTTCCTTGAACAGTTAACTATCCCGTAACACTAACCCCCTTCCAAGGAGGCGACGTCCGCGGCGCCTTCAGACTGAAGGATGCCTTAGATTTGGTAGTCAGGCTCGTCAGTGTCAACAGCTACCAGTAGTGGAGTGCGATCACGGCCCAAGAAGGTGGTGTTGGGATTGGAGTATGGATGAAGGGGAGACACGTGGAATGATGGGTGCATGCGGAAATGAGCGGGAAGGCAAAGGCAGTATGTGTCAGACTTATATGATCTAGCCTGTGTATGCTGTAGCGGGTTAGACACTAATGGGTACACAATTCTAGGGTTTCATATTTGTATCACACTCATTCCTCGTTCTTTCACATGGTATAGAGCAGGTTCCCTAGTGGGAACGTTTCCTAGGGCCCACCACGAAAATCGATTATTTTTTTTTCCTGCCCGGAGCGCGCTCCGCCCCTGCCCGAGTCGCGCCCCGTGTGCCTGCCCTCCCGTCGCGTCCCCTGCCCTTAGCGGCCCGTCGCGTTCTCTTACTGCCCAGTAGCGGCCCCTCTCACGGACCCTCGTGGCCCCTTCGCGGCTCCCTCATGGCCCCTCCGCGGCCCTTCGCGGCCCCTCTCACGGCCCCTTCTCGGCCCCGTCGCCGCCCTTCGCGGCACCCCTTCTCGGCCCTTTGTGGCCACTTCGCCGCCCTTAGCGGCCCCTTCTCGGCTCCTCCGCGGCCCCCTCTCGGCTCCTTCACGGCCCTGCCGCCCCGCGGTCGCCGCCCCAGCAGCAGCAGCCGTCGCGCCGTACCAACCGCCCCTACCACTGCCGGGGTCGCCATCGCCGCCGCTGCCGTGACTGGAGGAGCCGCCGCCGCCGCTGCCGGGACAGCCGCAGCCGTCGCCGCCGCTGCCGTGACTGCAGAAGCCGCCGCTGGCGTGACAGCCACAGCCGCCGCTGCCGTGATAGCCGCAGCCGTCGCCGCCGCTCCCGTGACAGACGCCGCCGCGGTTGCCGGGGCCGCGGCCGCCGTCGTCGCCAGCACCAGGAGCCGTCGCTGCCGCCCTGTCGCGGCCCTGTCCCTGCCGGCGCGCCTCGGCTCTACCTCTGACCCACCACTTGCGGACCTCTACCCACCCGCCCTGGTAAGAGCACCGCCGAGCCGCGCCTCTGCTACTGAGCTGCTCCTAGCCTGCTGCTTCTGCTGCTGCTGTCATGGCTACCCCTAGCGTTCTCACCTTTGATGCTGAGGGTCGGGCTGTCGACTTTGAGGTCTGGGTCGATGATCTGCAACTTTTCCTGCAGTGCAATAGGAAAGACGGTCTCTCACTGTTCGATCTTACGTCTGGCGCCTCTACTGCCCCTACTGCCGATGCTGACAACACTGTTCGCTCACAATGGGCCACACGCGATGCTGCTGCCCGTCTTGCTGTGCGTAGTCACCTGCCGTCCACTGAGCGCGCGCACTTTAGTCAGTACAAGAGTGCTAAGACCTTGTACGACGCTGTAGTTGCGCGCTACTCTTCCCCTGCCACTGCTGCCCTTAGTCGACTCATGCTGCCGTACCTGTTCCCTGACCTCGCCGCCTTTCCCACAGTCGCTGACCTCATTACGCACCTTCGCACTAGTGACACCCGCTACCGCGCTGCGCTTCCTGCTAAGTTCTGCGCCATGAACCCCCCCCCCATGTACATCACCCTCTACTACATCGTCACCCGGCTCCCTGACTCCCTTGGCTCGGTCAAGGACCACTTCCTCTCAGTTTGCCCCACCACACTCACCGTTGACCTCCTCGAGGAGCGCCTCCTGGCAGCTGAGCAGAAAATAGTCGCTGTAGGAGCCTCTCGTGGTGAACATCGTGCCCCCTTCTTTGAGGGGTGCTCCCCCTCCCCCCTTTTGCCCTCTGTTGCCTCTGCTACTACCGTCGACTTTGTTGCCACCGAGTCGGTCGGCGCTGCGTCTGCCCCTAGCGGAAGACTCCGCACCGGCAAGGGCAAAGGGGGCAAGGGCGCTGGAGGGGCTGGCGGGGGCGGTGGAGGTGGCGGTGGAGGCGCCGGAGGGGGTGGGGGTGGCGGTGGGAGTGGTGGCGGGGGTGGGGGCTTTGGTGGCGGCGGTGGAGGCGGAGGCGGCGGCGGCGGTGGCGGTGGGAGTGGAGGAGGTGGCGGTGGCGGCGGTGGCGGAGGTGGCGGAGGCGGCGGTGGAGCTGGTCAGGGTGGCTCTGCGCAGCGGGGCGGCTTCGGTGGTGGTCAGCACCAGCAGCAGCAGCGCACTCGTGAGACCCTGCCCCCCCAGCAGCTTCGTGAGTGGTACGCTGCGCGTCAGCGGGGTCGGGGTGCTGGTCCCTGTGCCTACGTCCTGCGTACCGGCGACCGCACTGGTGAGCCGTGCGGTGGCCCACACACCACCCAGCGCTGCTTCGGCCGCCTGACGGACGCTTGGCGTTTGTAGTTCCCTGACGCCACTGAGATCCCCCGCTGGGGCGAGCTGCTTAGGTCGGGGGTTGCTATCTTTGATCTTGATTATGATGCTATTCTTGCTGCCATGTATGTTGTGTCTACTAGTGATGAGGGTGACTGTTACCTGTGTGTTCCGCCTAACCCGGGCACTGAGGCTGCTGCTCTAGGTGCTGGTGAGGCTGCTGCTCTAGGTGCTAGTGCGTCTGCTGCCCCAGGTGCTGGTGAGTCTGCTCTCTCAGGTACCACATCGGCTCATTCCTTACACACCTTCACCCTTGAGTCGGGTGCTTCCTGCTCCTTCTTTCAAGACCGCACCACGATTACGCTGCTTAGTCGGCCAGTTGCAGTCTCCCTAGCGGACCCCTCTGGGGGTTGACCAGTTCACTCGTGCGAGTCAGCGGGTGACCCACTGTACGTGTGCTCGGACGGGCCGACACTTGGCCACGTTTACCAGTCAGCCGGGGTCGAGCCTGTACACACTTACTACTGAGTCTCCTCCGGTTCCTGAGTCTGGTCAGGTCACTGCGTCGGGTCAGGTGTTTGCTGCAGCGTCCAGGTCTGGTCCTGAGTCTGCTCCCTGCTCGTGTCGTCTCCTGTCCCACCGGACCCTCCTCTGGCACCACCGTCTTGGTCACCCCTCCCTGCCTCGTCTCCGAGGCATGGCCTCCCATGTCCTTGTGTCTGGTCTCCCCCGGTCCCTCCCTCCCCTCCCTCCGAGGCCTGCCCCTACCTGCGTTCCCTGCGTCGAGGGGCGGCAGCGCGCTGCTCCTCACTCCTCCGAGTTTCCTCCGACAGAGGCTCCGCTGCAGACTCTTCACATGGACGTGTGGGGCCCTGCCCGCGTCCGTGGCCAGGGTCACGAGCGTTACTTCCTGTTGGTGGTTGATGACTACTCGCGTTACACCACGGTCTTCCCCTTGCGCAGCAAGGGTGACGTCACTGAGGTGTTGATCGACTAGATCCGCGCAGCTCGTCTCCAGCTCAGAGAGAGTTTCGGCTCGGACTTTCCTGTCCTGCGTCTGCACTCTGACAGAGGCGGAGATTTTTGCTCTGACCTTCTAGGAGCCTTCTGTCATGCACAGGGCATCCGCCAAACATTCATGCTACCGGCCTCTCCACAGCAAAATGGGATTGCTGTGCACCGCATTGGCATGGTCATGGACGTCGCTCGTACGTCCATGATTCATGCGGCTGCCCCCCATTTTTTGTGGCCATTCGCGGTTTGGTACACGGCGCATCAGATCAACCTTCAGCCCCAGGTCTCCTTGCCGGATCAACCCCTACTCTGCGGTGGACGGGGAAGGTTGGCGATGCGTCTTCATTTCGTGTCTGGGGATCTCGGGCTTTTGTCCGCGACTTGTCTGCGGACAAGTTGTCCCCCCGTGCTGTTCCCTGCGTCTTCCTTGGCTTCCCCCATGACGCGCCTGGCTGGCAGTTTTACCACCCCACCTCGCGCCGTGTTCTGTCCTCCCAGGACGTCACGTTTGACGAGTCGGTTCCTTACTACCATCTCTTTCCCTACAGCACTGCGCCCCTCCCCCACGTCTTCGCGCGGGCCTGTTCTGCCCGCCCGTACCCTCGCGGCCCCTTCGCGGCCCCGTCGCTGCCCCTAACGGCCTCGTCGCCGCCCTTCTCGGCCCTTCGCGGCCCCTTTGCGGCCCCGTCGCCGCCCCTTCTCGGCCCCTCGAGGCCCCCTCTCGGCCCCGTTGCCGCCACTAGCGGCCCCGTTGCCGCCTATAGCGGCCCCGTCGTCGCCCTTCGCGGCCCCGCTGTTGCCTTTAGCGGCCCTGTCGCCGCCTTTCTCGGCCCCATCGCCGCCTTTCTCGGCCCCGTCGCCGCCCCTCGTGGCCCCGCCACTTGCTCGTCGTGGCGCCCCCCCCCCCCCCCTGGCCGCCGCCTCTGCCTCCCCTGCGCCCGCGCCTGCTTTGCAGCAGCGCGCGCACCGGTGACGCCGCCCCTGCAGCAGCAGCCCCAGCAGCAGCCGCCCCTGGAGCAGCCGTCATTGCAGCAGCCGCCCCTGGAGCAGCTATCCCTGCAGCAGCGGCCCCTGGCCCCTGGAGCAGCCGCCGTTGCAGCAGCCGCCCCTGGCCCCTCGAGCAGCCGCACCTGCAGCCGCCCCTGGCCCCTGGAGCAGCCGCCTTTGCAGCAGCCGCCCCTGGCCATTGGAGCAGCCGCCACTGCAGCAGCCGCCCCTGGCCCCTGGAGCAGCCGCATTTGCAGCCGCCCCTTGCCCCTGGAGCAGCCGCCCCTGGCCGCTGGAGCAGCCGCTGGAGCAGCCGCTACTGCAGGACCCGCCCCTGGCCTCTGGAGCAGCCGCCCTTGGAGCAGCCGCCCCTGGAGCAGCCGCCACTGCAGTAGCCGCTCCTGGACCCGGTGAAGCCGTGGGGGGGGTGGGTATGGGGGTGGCGGGTGTGGGGGTGATGAATGTGAGAAGTATGGGGGTGATGGGTGTGCGGGTGATGAGTGTGGGACAGGTGGGGGAGGTTGAGTGGAGGTGACCGCCGTGAAGCTAGCAGCTCCAGTCGCCCGTGAGACCGTTGCGCCAGTCGCCCGTGAGCCCGTCGCTCCAGTCGCCCGTGAGCCCGTTGCTCCAGTCGCCCATGAGTCAGTTGCTCCTGCCGCTTGTTTAGCCGCCAGCCAGTTACTCCAGTTGCCCGTGTGCCAGTTGCTCCAGTTGCCAGTGTGCCTGTTGTTCCAGTTGCCCGTGTGCCAGTTGCTCTCGTTGCGCCGTATGTCTGCAGCTTCCGTCGTCGCCTCTCATCTCCACTCCTCTCACAGTCCCGCCTCCTCCTCCTCACTTGCTCTCTCCTTTTGCTACGCTTGGTGTACCCCTTCAGGGGGTGTCTCTGCATTGGCTTCCTGCTGCAAGCAGTTTAGGGGGTGTGTTGAAATACATTTCTTATATAAACTGCTTGTAGCAATAGTTAGTGTAGTGTTACATTGTTGGTGGTGCACCTTGCTAGCTTTGTTTGCTATATGTACTCTTGAGCCTATAGTGAACACATCCTTTTGACCTTCACAACTCTCTGGACTTCCTCTTGGCCTAGGCTACTAAGTCTAGGCCCTACTTAAAACTCCACTACCACACTTATGCTCGTATCTTAACATGGGGGTGCTGCGTGTGGGGGTGCTGAGCCTGAGGGTGCGGAGCGTGAGGGAGCTGGGCCTGCTCGTGTGGAGTCTGGCGGTCTTGGGTCTGGAGGTCCCTCGCGTGCTTCGTCCCGGCGGGAGCTACCCTCTCCGCAGAAGCTGCGCTAGTGGTTTTCTCAGCGCTGGAGTCGTGCTGCTGGAGCTGGAGGTTCTGCTGCTGCTGAGGGTGTTGGTGCCACGGGTCCCGGAGGTGCTCGTACTGGGGGTACTGGAGCTGCTGGGCCTGGGGGTGCTCCTGGTGCTGGAGCTGCTGGCGGTGCTTCTGGAGCGGGTGCTGCTGGAGGTGTTGGAGCTGTGGCTGTTGAGTCTTCCGGTGGTCCGGCTGGAGCTGGAGCTGCTGAGAGTGTTGGCACTGGAGGTGCTGCTGGCGCTGGTGCTTCTGAGGGTGCTGGGGTTGGCGGTGCTGAGGCTGGGGGTGCTTCTGGTGCTGGTGTTGCCGCTAGGGGTGCTGGCTCTGGGTGCACTACGTGGCCGCGGCCGTATTCGTTCCGCTCCTTGAGCAGGTTCTTAGTCTCCCGCCTTCTGCTGGTCTTGCTCCTTCCTCAGAGTGTCCGCCGCCTGTCCAGTCTGAGTCGCAGTTACAGCCCGCCTCCCCACTGCATGCTCCCTCTCCCTACACTGGTCCTACTGGGGGTCTTGCTGAGTGTCGTGAGCCTGCGTCTCGTCCTGTGTCGTCTGTTCGTACTGCTTGCACTAGTAGTCGTGTTCCGCGTCCGCGTCCTCCTGCGGTCCCAGGCACTCACCGGATGGCACTGCGTCCTTCCACTGCTCCTCTGCGTGTCCGTTTGCTATCTCCTACAGAGTCCTCTCTTACTACTCTTGCTGACCCGGAGTTTGACTCTCTTCGTGCTGCCAGTCCTACTGTCACGCGTCTCCTGGCTACTGTTGTCACTGACCCTTCCTTTGAGTCCACTGCTGCGTCTGCCTTAGTTGCTGAGCTTCTCGACTTTGCTGCTCACTGTCGTCTCGACTACGCCGCTAGTCTTGTTGCTGAGTTTGAGTCTGTCAGTCCTCCGTCCGTTGGGGGTGAGTGTGCTCTTAGCACGAACGTCCTTGAGGACAAGCAGGAGGAGTTCCAGTGTTTTGCTGCTGCTTTGCCTCAGCTCGTGTCCATGCTGATTTCCCCTGAGGGAGACCCGGATGCACCAGACATCCCGACTCCTCGATCGTACGCTGAGGCGATCGAGGGTCCCTACTCCTCACAGTGGCAATCAGCCATGGACGCAGAGATGGCTTCTTGGAAGTCCACAGGCACCTACGTCGACGAGGTTCCCCCACCTGGGGCGAACATCGTCAGTGGCATGTGGGATTTTAGGGTGAAGCGGCCGCCGGGTTCTCCGCCTGTCTTCAAGCCACGTTACGTGGCTCGAGGCTTCAGTCAGCGGAAGGGAGTTGACTACTTTCAGACCTTCTCTCCCACCCCAAAGATGACCACTCTTCGGGTGCTGCTGCACATAGCCGGTCAGCGCGACTACGAGCTTCACTCTCTTGACTTCAGCACAGCTTTCCTACAGGGCAGCCTGCACGAGGAGATCTGGCTGCGCCGCCCACCTGGCTTCACTGGGTCGTTTCCTCCTGGTACCCAGTGGAGCCTCCGGCGGCCAGTCTACGGTCTCCGCCGGGCTCCCTGTGAGTGGCACGACACACTGAGGACTACACTTGCGGCTCTTGGGTTTGCTCCTTCTACTGCCGACCCGTCGCTGTTTCTACGCACCGACACCTCTTTGCCACCGTTCTACATCCTCGTGTACGTCGACGACTTGGTCTTTGCCACTGCTGACACTGCTGGACTCGCCCAAGTGAAGTCCGAGCTGCAGAAGAGACACACGTGCACAGACCTGGGTGAACTACGCAGCTACCTTGGCTTGCAGATCACCCGGGACAGAGCACAGCGCACCATTACCCTGACTCAGTCACACATGGTGCAGCAGGTCCTTCAGCGCTTCGACTTCACACGTACTCCTCGCCTCAGGCCACTCCTCTGTCTACTTGCCACTCGCTCTCAGCTCTGCCTTCGGATGAGTCCGTAGAGCCGAGTGGCCCGTACCCAGAGCTTGTTGGTTGCCTCATGTACCTGATGACCTGCACTCGTCGTGACCTTGCATACCCTCTTAGCATCTTGGCACGCTATGTTGCTCCTCGGAGACACCGACCAGAGCACATGGCTGCAGCGAAGAGGGTGTTGCGCTACTTGTGCAGTACGTCGGGCATGGGGCTAGTGCTTGG